GCTTCAGAAAGCAACGGATGCGCCGTTTGTGAGCCGCGGCGGCTGGAAGACAGTTAGATTTTCTTGTAGGGTCAGAAAGTGACGTTAGGCAGTGGAGGCCGTTGCCCGGAGGCCCGGTCCGTCCCTCAGGGCCCTGCTGTTTCGCTGTTTCGCATGCGTCCGGCAAAGGTGGCAGTCGGCAGCTTCCAGAGCTACTTTTCTAAGGACTTCAGAAAGCAACGGATGCGCCGTTTGTGAGCTGCGGCGGCTGGACGACAGCTAGATTTTCTTGTAGGGTCAGAAAGTGACGTTAGGCACTGGGGGCCGTTGCCCGGAGGCCCGGTCCGTCCCTCAGGGCCCTGCTGTTTCGCCAAAGGTGGCAGCCGGCAGCTTCCAGAGCTAGTTTTCTAAGGGCTTCAGAAAGCAACGTTAGGCAGTGGCGCCTGGCCTTGGGACACGCGGTTGGGACCAGCAGGCCCTGCTGTTTTGCTGTTTCGCATGCGCCCGGCAAAGGTGGCAGTCGGTAGCTTCCAGAGCTACTTTTCTAAGGGCTTCAGAAAGCAACGGAAAGCAACGTTAGGCAGTGGCGCCTGGCCTTGGGACACGCGGTTGGGACCAGCAGGCCCTGCTGTTTCGCTGTTTCGCATGCGCCCGGCAAAGGTGGCAGTCGGCAGCTTCCAGAGCTACTTTTCTAAGGGCTTCAGAAAGCAAAACGGAAAATTGCGCCGTTTGTGAGTGCGGCGGCTCTGGAAGACAGCTAAGATTTTCTTGCAGGAGTCAGAAAGTGACGTTAGGCACTGGGGCCCGTTGCCCGGAGGCCCGGTCCGTCCCTGAGGGCCCTGCTGTTTCGCTGTTTCGCATGCGCCCGGCAAAGGTGGCAGTCGGAAGCTTCCAGAGCTACTTTTCTAAGGGCTTCAGAAAGCAACGGATGCGCCGTTTGTGAGCCGCGGCGGCTGGAAGACAGCTAGATTTTCTGGTAGGGTCAGAAAGTGACGTTAGGCACTGGGGGCCGTTGCCCGGAGGCCCGGCCCGTCCCTCAGGGCCCTGCTGTTTCGCTGTTTCGCATGCGCCCGGCAAAGGTGGCAGTCGGCAGCTTCCAGAGCTACTTTTCTAAGGGCTTCAGAAAGCAACGGATGCGCCGTTTGTGAGCTGCGGCGGCTGGAAGACAGCTAAATTTTCTTGTAGGGTCAGAAAGTGACGTTAGGCAGTGGGGGCCGTTGCCCGGAGGCCCGGTCCGTCCCTCACGGCCCTGCTTTCGCTGTTTCGCATGCGCCCGGCAAAAGTGGCAGCCGGCAGCTTCCAGAGCTAGTTTTCTCAGGGCTTCAGAAAGCAACGTTAAGCAGTGGCGCCTGGCCTTGGGACACGCGGTTGGGACCAGCAGGCCCTGCTGTTTCGCTGTTTCGCATGCGCCCGGCAAAGGTGGCAGTCGGCAGCTTCCAGAGCTACTTTGCTAAGGGCAGAGAGACAGACAGACAGAGACAGACAGATAGAGACAGAGAGACAGAGAGAGACAGAGAGAGACAGAGAGAGAGAGAGAGAGAGACAGAGAGACAGGCAGACAGATAGACAGACAGACAGATAGACAGACAGACAGATACAGACAGATACAGACAGACAGACAGACAGAGAGACAGACAGACAGACAGACAGATAGACAGACAGACAGACAGAATGCTGTTTCGCTGTTTCGCATGCGCCCGGCAAAGGTGGCAGTCGGCAGCTTCCAGAGCTACTTTCTGCGCCGTTTGTGAGCTCGGCGGCTGGAAGACAGCTAGATTTTCTTGTAGGGTCAGAAAGTGACGTTAGGCAGTGGAGGCCGTTGCCCGGAGGCCCGGTCCGTCCCTCAAGGCCCTGCTGTTTCGCTGTTTCGGATGCGCCGTTTGTGAGCCGCGGCGGCTGGAAGACAGCTAGATTTTCTTGTAGGGTCAGAAAGTGACGTTAGGCAGTGGAGGCCGTTGCCCGGAGGCCCGGTCCGTCCCTCAGGGCCCTGCTGTTTCGCTGTTTCGCAGCCGGCAGCTCTCAGAGCTATACTTTTCTAAGGGCTTCAGAAAGCAACGTTAGGCACTGGCGCCTAGCCTTGGGACACGTGGTTGGGACCAGCAGGCCCTGCTGTTGCGCTGTTTCGCATGCGCCCGGCAAAGGTGGCAGCCGGCAGCTCTCAGAGCTATACTTTTCTAAGGGCTTCAGAAAGCAACGTTAGGCACTGGCGCCTGGCCTTGGGACACGCGGTTGGGACCAGCAGGCCCTGCTGTTGCGCTGTTCGCATGCGCCCGGCAAAGGTGGCAGCCGGCAGCTTCTAGAGCTACTTTTCAAAGGGTTTCCGAACGCGTCGTTAGGACGGGCCAGGTTCACGCGGCTTGGCCACCTGCCAAATTACGCCAGGGAATCACGGATCACTTCTTGGTAGCCTTTTAAACATGCAGCTAGCATCACGGAATCCCTTCTCAGGACAGATTTTTTTTGCAAAGTTTACTGGCCCACCCCCTTCAACATGCACTTTGACTTTCACCCGCTCTTTCGCATAACTTTCGCGGAACTTTCGCGAAAATATCCCTATTCACAGACCCCGGCCATCAGCAGGGGGTGCACTGAAGGAAAAGCGAAGACCAGGGGCCTTGGTGTTTGGCTCTCGCAAAGCCTCACTTTTGGAAACTTGGCTACTGCTACTCGCATTCTCTGGTGCCCTTTTCCTGCCGGACCCCGGGCGGCAGTGGGTGGCAGCCCTTTACATATAATGATTATAATACCCAACTTTCGCGAAACTTTCGCGAAATAAAATTTTACTTTCGCGAATTCGAAAAAAAACTTTCGCGAGGGTTTCCAACATAACATGCACGGCTTTCGCAATTAAAACTCCTTACAAGGACCTTTAGATCGATCACCATATATATATATATATATACACGAACTTGAGACTGAACTACCACAGTGTCGAGCCCAGCTACAGCTCTATTCCCACTGATATTAATGTGATTTGGGGCCTTACTCACTATGAATAGTACTAGTACTGACTATCTTCAGTGATCATCAACCATCAAATATTGTATTGATATTTGTATTGATATATTTTAATAAATTTTGTCCGAGGGTTCCACCTGCATTAAACCCAACAAGATGGAGTGTGCAGTTTATAGGTCTCCATTGCGTATCTATTGGATGTTACCACTGCTAAATTTTCGGTGAGAATCAAAAGAAACAGAAAGCTATCGCCATTACCGAAAAAAAGCGGTTCTACCCGGGGTCACGCAGTTTTGTGGGAAACCATACCTTCGGGTTGTGCCATCTATAGGTTACGCTTGCAATCCATGTGCACAGGGAAAGAGAAAGGAGAAGGGAAAGGAGAAAGGAGAAAGGAGAAAAGAAAAGGAGGAAGGGAAAGGCATATCAGGGGTTTCCGTGTCTGTTTATTGCATGTTGTTTTCATGCATACTTTTGGTGCGCCTTTTCCTTGCGAAGACTACGTCTTACGCAAGGGAGGCAAGACACACCATCCCCAAAATATGAAAACAACATTCCATGAACAGCCACGGAAACCCCTGATATGAATTATTTCTATGTATATATATATATATATATCATGTCCTCGCATGTCTACCACAGCACATCTGTCCTGGGAGCTCCCGGTCGAACGTCCAAAGAAGCGCATCATTGAGACAAAATGGCAGTTGGCCCGTTGGCCCCCAACCAGGGCGAGGAGTGAGCCAGAGGAAAACATCAAGCTCCACTACTGGAGTGAATCTGGGGTCGGCGGCAGGGGGCGTAAGCCCTTTAATATAACTATATAACTATATAACATTATATAACTATATAACTATATAATGATTTATATACAGTAATTCTCATATCGTAATCATTTTTAAGGTGATCTACCCTGTGAAAGAACGTTGCGGTTTAAAGCCAGAGACTAAGTGACGAATGGGTATCCATCCATCCATTCCCTATCTTGGTTTCATAATGGCTTGAAATCAATCCTACTGGTAGTGCATTGAACGTGTTGTAGAATGAGATGAGGAAAGATCAGCGGAATCGTGTATGACTGCAGAAAATGACATTGTAAGATATTGCAACATTCAGTAACATTCACGGAAACCATCACGTTTCATCGTGGCAATCTGAGCTTAAAGAGCTCTCGGCATGGAGCGCTTCCAAAGAATTTGCATGGTGGGAAGCCGACAAGTTGCCAAATCTATGGAATGTCTTAGATCAACCACCGTCTCAGGAGTATCAGAGGGCGTACTTCCTTAGCCGCCTTAGCCTTCTTGATGCAGGCCTTCCTCTTCCAAAATTCGGTGGAGTTGAAGGTGCAACTGAAACATCAAGCCATGTGAGCATCGACACAAAAAGCACTACGACCAGACAATGTCTCCGAGTTGGTCCATGATGTAACTGCTGAGTACATCTTCGAGGCTAAAAACCCTGTGCGCTACTGTGCTAGGTACTGTAAATATCTGTAAATATCTGTAAAATTCTGTAATTAAATGATTGTAATAAGATGTAATAAGTTAAGCTCAAGTCGAGGAGGTCCAACTTGTCCAACGAATCTGTCATATTAACAGTATCTATTGCAAAACATCCTGCTGCAAAGGGGTCATTGGTATAGGCATTCTATATGGGGATGGGTCAAAACCTTGTACCGCTGGTGAACATCAAAATAGCTGGTAAATGGATGTTCATCCCACTAAAAATGTATCTATAGGTATTGACCCATACCCATATGTTACCGTATGTTTGATGGCTCTTTGACATCATGCCACGATTTTGCAAAGCACTGCACAAGCTGCGCAAAGAAATCCTGCCATGCCGGGTCCAAAGCTGTTTCTAGAGAAAAGCTGAGTGCTCAGTGTATGCTGAAAGCATTTTGGTGCCCTCTGTCAGCAGAGCTCCAATAACCACTGCAGCGTTCTGTCCATGGTCCTGCTCATACTTCCTGCAGCATTCCTGTGCCGTCACGGAGCCAGATCATGGCGTTGCTCGCCGTTCTTGTCCTGACCATGGTTCGGCCTGCCCTGGGTGCGAAGTACTCAGGTGCCATCGTAGCCAAACCTGCTCGTGTTTGCAGTGTGAAGTTGGGAAGGTCGGCATGATTCAAGAATCTTGCAGTTCGCTCTGAGAAACATTGGAATAGAAACATGTCAGAATCAGATTCGTAAAACATCGTAAAACTATTTGAACATATTTGAACGAGCTCAGAGAAACATCAAAAGGAACCAGTGACCAGTGGATCATCGATCTGTGCCTTGTCGACACCATTCCATGTGGACGAAGATCCAATGCTGTGCCATTGACCCGCAGCACATCATCCCGCGCAGCAGCGATGGCAGAGAGAACACTTTGAGCTTCAGCACTCGCAAAAACGCCAGTGTCCAGGGCCCTCTGCACCCCAAGCTCAGATCCAGCAATCAAACAGCGATTTTGTGGAGATCGATGGAAAGGCACGAAAGCGACTTCGATGGCAGATGGAAAAAGACTCTGCAGCAGGTTTGAACGTGGTTGCTGTAGGGCATCCTCAAACATTTCAGCCATTTTCACTTGTTTTTCAGTGATGCGGCTGGCCTCTGCACCAGCGGTCGTACGCCATGCAACACACGGAGTGCAAACACCTAACAAAGACACCAACGGGTCAGTGCTCTTTCCCATTAGCTTTCGCAAATAGGGATCTGCAGAATGAATCTCTGAATAGATGCGCCTATCTTCTGCAGCACCAATTTTGTGCATGCAGCACGTGGCGATGACAGCTCCAAGGACGTCAACCTTTGTCTCAGCACCCGCCTGACACCAGCGCCGCAGCAACTTCAGGGCCAAGTCGGTCCCAGTGCCGCACAAATGTTTCGCTATGACCACGACTTGGGTGATGCCATGCTTCTCCAGGAGCGGTTCAATTTCTCGGCTCGCGTCCAGATCTCCTACATCCCCAGTGACACGTAGAACTCGCTGACGATACTCCTCTGGGAGTCGCCCTTCAACGCGCATGGGTTCCGGAGGCAGGGTGTGGTCAATCAGCACTGCATGACCGCCCAGCAGCAACGCTGCCAGCAGTGCCAGGCTTCCATTCCCAGCCCCAATGTCCACCACCGCCAAGCCCTTGCCACAGCTTGGCGCCAAAGCCCAGACTTTGCAAAGGATGGACCATTCCTGTTCCAGGTACTTCTCTTGATACTTGGGTGGCCGGTCAATCATGCTGGACAGAACCTCCAAGCCTTCCCGAGGCGCAAAGATTTGCGGAAGTTTGCGATAAGAGCATGGCACCCACAAAGTCAAAGCTGCCTGTGAGAGGGCTCCCTCCACTTCCTCCTCTGTGGGGTGTTTCACCCGCCTTTCCTTCCCCTCGGCAGCATCTGAGGCCCTGCCAAGAGACATTCATTTCAGAAGTGATCAAGTATACACATCTCTGAAAGAGCGAATTCATCTGCACCTCAGAGTCTTAGGAGCTAGTCCAGGTAGTATTTCTTGAAGAGCCTCCATCATAGATACAAAATCAAAAAAATAAACCAGTTTGAAGCTGCTACTCCTGACATTATCCATCATTATCCTACATTCTCTGCTTGCGTCAGCAACTTCAAAGGTGTTTGCAGCGAATCAAACCTGCAGAACTTTGTGAACGGCGCGCAGTTCTCGAGTGCGTGCTTTGTCATGCTCAAGACCTCACTGAGGTCCAACTCGCCCGCTCTCTGAAAGTGAATCGGCGCGCACTTGGCGAATTTGGCGATATGATATGATGAGATATGATAAGAATTGATAAGATATGATGAGATATGATAAGAATTGATAAGATATGTACGATATGAATTCAATGCAAAGGAAAACGCATAGTTTGTGACTTGCATGCACCAAGGTCAGAACGGATATTGGCTCGTTCTTGACGTTTTTGTCGGCGCCGCGAAGCAACGGAAGGCTTTGATGCCTATCCAGATCCAAGATCAAAGCTTCAAAGCCTACTCACTTCGGGTGTTGGAAGAAAATTGTCCTACATGGTTTTTGAGATCTTTTGAGTCAGTTCGTTCTGATGCCTGCTTTTAGATCATGAGCTCATGAAATTCAGAAAGTCATCAGCTTTGCTCTCCTCCTGCGCATCGTCTTGCCACAGAAAGCCCTCCAGGGAAAGACCCGGTAGCCATTCCTCCAGAGTATCGTCAAGTGCAGCGTGGAATGCAAGCAATGCTCTGTTTGACTTGATGACTCCACTCCACCACGCAATGTCGGAGAAACTCTGAAAAAAGTACCACCATCAGCAAATTCCTCCAATTTGATCCAATTTGTTGACTTGACTGACGATTCATAAATCGAACTGATTGTGCTGGTTGAAGAGACGAGGCATGTCCTCTACATCATCAGCTTCAGCATCATCAGCCATTCCCTCAACTTGAATCGAGTAAGCTTCGGGAGAAACTCAGCTGTTGTCAAGGACATTCTGCAGTTGCCAAACGTCTCACATGCTCACATTCTCGAAATCAACGACATGAAATTGAATAGATATGGGGATGGTTCAAAACCCTATCCCCCTGGTGAACATCAAAATAGCTGGGATTTATGGATGTTCATCCCCCTAAAAATGGTATGTATAGGTATTGATCCATAGCCATATAATTACATCACAGAAGGGATACAAGATGACACAAGCTGTGCCTTTAAAAGGAATTGACCTCTAACTTGGCCGACAATGGATGCGAAGCTGCGGCCGACGCTCCAATTTTTTTTTCTCACTCGGCGACCTCCAACTGCGGCCTGCGCTCAGGTGGCCTTGGAACTATTGGAATTGAGATCAAAACATATCAAAACCTGGTTGCGAACTGGTTCTACTGGTTTTTTCTTCAAAGCTCTTCCAATAATTTGCTGGTTGATCCCTTTTAACATATGTTCAATAGCTTGGTAGAACATAGTAGAACCCAAATTCTTGTACATTACTATACTATACTACTATGATATACTATGATATACAGTCACCGACAGAATTATGGGAAAAAAAAACGTTTCAATTTACAGGCGCCGCCTGTCTATGATAGAAAAGTTACGAACCTTTTTTTTTCCATAATTATTTTTTCCATAATTATTTTTTTTCCATAATTCTGTCGGTGACTGTATTACCATCGATTCGCAATTTGAATGCATTTTAAGGGGGAATATTGAATTATAGAAAATATGTGTCTAAAGATCTGGTATATGCCCCTAAGTCTTCCATTGATATACAATTGCACCACCAAAACTCATTGTTGTACGTACATACATATGCGGGATGTATCCTTTTGCCAAGCCACCAATTGGGTTGATACTACATACTTGCATTTGCATACATATTTCCATAACCCCCAAAAAAAAGGGGTTTGAATTGTGGATCCATGACATGTCCAACAGGTGGAGCCCCAAACATTAATTATGGAAAAAATAATTATGGAAAAAATAATTATGGAAAAACCGGTCAATCTGCGCTAGCCCCCTGATTTTACAGGTCTGAGCACATAGGATCATAGAACCATTGGACGTGCTTTTACAGGCATTTTCTTTCAAGTGCAGGGAAAACGGTCCTTGCTGTTAAGAGGGTTATGAGCCCAACGACTGCCCTCTAACTTTCGCTGGTTTTTGCAATGGAAAGGGCTCAGTCGTTGCCATCGAGGGGATCTGACTGGAATGGGAATCCTTTTTATTCCCAGAAGGCGCAAGATGAATGTGTTCTTCAAGCTAGTCGGCCTCAGGGTTTACCAACTGACCAAATGAGTGATGATGTAGGGCCTCCTTTGCCAAGTCTTTCAGGAAGAGCAGCTCAGTTTGAACAGGTGTCTACGGAGCAAACTGGGAAAGGTCGTGGCGGATCATCGGCTGGTTTGCTGTATGAGTCGCGACCCACAGTAGAAGGCCGTGGAGGAGCCAGGACTGAGGGGTTGATGCCGCCTGATGATGGAAGGCAAACAATGGGGTCTGTTAGCAATACTCAGATGGAAGGGAAGCTGAATGGTGACGAGCTGCAGAGAGCCCTTGAGGGCGAACTAGTAGCGTTTTTGAGAGAACAGAATTCGAAGCTCATGAACGATGTAGAGTTTTTGAAGGGCAAACTGGAGTTGTTGTCAGCTGGCAAGGCTGACTCTGGGATGGAGACTTCACCATGGTCTACAATTGGGGGCGTACCATCAAGTAGGAGTTCCAATGATGTTGGGATCCCTCAAAAGGATCGTCCACGTAGGAATGGAAGTCGAACTCCCAGGTCCAAGGTTAGAGAAGTTGCGGTGAGCCCTGAAAAACGGCATGAGCATGTGCGGTTCACTCCAAACGGGACTCAGGTTCCATCAGGACCGCCACCAAGCCAGTTGGAGGACATGCCACCGGTTCCACCATTTCCTGTTTGTCATGGGGAGCCTTCCGATGGGCGTGATCTTCAAAACAGTTTTGTCAGCAACCTTTATGACACTTGTGAGTCAAAGGTCAAGGTCAAGAATGGTGATGTGAATTGGAAACCCCAAAATGAGAGAAATGAGGGGACTGATATCCTGACGGCTAGTGAGGCAAAGCAAATCTGGCTAGAGAGGGAAGTTCAGTCATTGAAGACGGCACTCGATCGGGTTTCAATTCCATTAGCCTTTCAACAATCGGAGTTTTGGAATGCTGGTTTCGATAGCAGGGGTAAAGTAGATCCCAAGGGTCACCACTCAGCTGCTGAAGCCAACTGCACATCGCTTGGCCTGCATGGTGGGAGTGGCACTGGAGACCTTCCGCATCGGGCTGTGCATGGAGGTGTAGCTGGTTCTCATCAGAGCATGGTGTTTGGCGGATGTGGTGAACTTGATCTTCAGCGTCGGGCTTTGCATGGAGATGTATCACATCAAGCTCGGGCTGCAGCAGCTGCGCCTTGTGTTCCAGGCGGAGTTCGGGCTGCGTACTTGCACGGTGAACATCGCGATCACGATCGGGCTTTCCACATGCATGGTGCACAAGCAGGACAAGCTCGGGCTTTTGATTTGCATGGTGAACATCCAGGACGCGGTCGGGCTTTGCATGGTGTGGGCAATGAGTGGGATCTACATGACAAAGGTCCAGCACATCCTTGTCTCCTTCCAGGTCATGATGTGGGGGGAGGAGGAATGGGAGATGGATCCAAATTTGGAAGCCCTGTGCAGTCCTGGCCAGTGGACTCTCAAGCTGGCCACATGAACAATAAGGGCGAGCTGCCAGATCTACCGGCCAATTCCACACCACTTCATTTTGGTGATTGGCTTCATCTGATAGCGCCTGTGATGAAGGACATCAGTGGCATCGCTGGATGGTGGTGGGAAGCAACACTGAGGGAAGCCAAGGTGTACTATGAAGGTTGGAAAAACAGTACACCACTTCAGCGGATCCAAATAGAGCCGCGTTTGCCTGATGCCCTGCAAGAGCACAAGTTCCAGAGAACGGAGCAGAGAGGCATCCAAATGCTTTTGAAGGCAATTCCAGAAGCCGAACAACAAGCTCTAGTAACGGAGCGGGCGCTGTCAACTACAGCGATTTTGTACAAGTTGCTGGTGAGATTTCAACCTGGTGGAGCTGGCGAAAAGCAGCTGCTGTTGAGCCAGCTGACATCGCTCCCAGCCACCAAGAGCATCCACGACCTGGCGGCGGCGATCAGAAACTGGAGACGCCACTTTGGACGAGCTCAAGAAGTTCAAGCAGTGTTGCCAGATGGAGTCTTGCTGTTGAAGGCATTGGATGGACCCATTCAGCATTTGGCTTCATTGGATCCTCAAGCGGCATTTCGCTTAGCTCAATCGAGGATGCAACTTCAGTTGGATGAGAAGCCTGTGCATGAGAACCTCTGGGCCTTCAGTCAATGTCTTCTTGCGGAAGCTGAGACTCTTTGCCTTCTGACCACAGCTCCGGCAACTACAGTGCAGTCTCCTTTGAAGATGAAACAACTACAAGGTGATCAAAAGACTTCATCAAGTACCACTCCGGACAACAAACCGAAGCCTGGAGCAACCATTGACAAACCCTGCAAGTACTTTGTGTCAGGACAAGGGTGTCGTGCCGGAAAAACTTGCAAGTGGTCGCACTCTTGGGACGGCGTGGAGGACAAGTCATCTCGTTGTTGGATTTGCGGAGGAAAAGACCACATCAAGAGTGACTGCCGCCTGAAGGCCGTGAACAAGAAGCAGGGTGAGCCAAGTGGTGGCTCAGGGGGAGGACGTGGTTCTACGGGAGCTGGGGCTTCCAATGCCACTTCAACGTTGACTTCCTCTACTTCGACTTCAAAACCAAGTGCACCAGGAGGAAAAGCTGGAGCTGCAGCTGTCAAAGTGGCCAAGTCTTCCGAAGAAGGTGCAACAGCAACAACCTCTGAAGGAGGATTGAATGTTCCAGTACCTCCTGAAGTGACGAGCTCAACTACCAGTGGAGACAAAGATGGAGGCCGTAGTGGGGGGAGCAGCAATGAAAATGCAAGTGGAACCAAGACAGCAGAGCTTCTTCATGAGGCGACACAACTGCTGAAGACTTTGCGAATCTCTGACAACAATCCGAAGCTCAAGGTCATGCAGCTTTCAGGGATAGATCAAGCTGATGAAGCGGTGGTGCTCATCGACTCAGGTGCCACACATGCACTTCGGCCAGCTGAAGACTGGGATGAGTGGAACAAGGCGGAGGGAACTACGGTGATGTTGGCTGAAGGATCCACCACCCGGTTTCGACTCAAACCTGGGACGAAGATGCTTTTGTCAGAGCCTGGGCAACGACCAGCATGGATCATCCCTATGGGCGGCTTGGCTGAGCTGGACTTTGTGCTTCGATGGTCAGGCAATCAGTGCTCCTTGCAGGATGATGAAGGCCGACACATTGATGTCCAGGTGCAAAATGGATGTCCCATGGTGTCGTTGGAAGATGGACGACGCCTTCTACAATGGTTGGAACTATACCATGTGTATCAGAAGCGCAAGTTGATGATGGTGCGAACTTTGCTGACTGATGAGTCTGCCATCGACAAGAGCCGCATCAACCTGGACATGGCACTTACTGCTATGATGCGACAGCAGTTTCCAAACTTGCCTGATGAGGTGATGATGAAGTTGATCCCAGATTTGGAGATGATCAAAACGGAGGACTTTGGCAGTCGACTCCCATGGAATAGGCACAAACGCCGACGTCTGATGAAGGCCAAGCATGTGATACTACATCTGTTTTCTGGCCCAGATCAAGCGTTTTGGGACAAGCAGTGTGCAAGTGCATCAACAGAGGTCCTGTGCATTGACACGACTTTGTCAACGGCAGCAAATCTTCATGATCGCAATGTGTATGGGTTCCTCTTGATGTTGTGCGCAAGCGGCCGAGTTCGTGCAATACTTGGAGGCCCTCCATGCAGGACACTGTCAGCGCTGAGGTATCAAGAAGATCAAGGACCTGGAATTTTGAGAACAGAAGAGCACCCTTATGGACTTCCAACGTTGGCACCTGGCGACAAGGAGCTTGTGATTGGAGACTCAGTCCTGGTGTTCAGATTTTGGTCTTTGCTGATGGTGGTGGAGGAGGTACGAGATGTTTCTTTGCCTCCAACTCAGTTCTTCATGGAGCAGCCAGAGGATCCGGCCAACTACAGGAGTCAGCAAGATGTCCAGCAGCACAAGTACTTCTCGCTGTTTCGAACCGCTGAGTGGAAAGCATTGGCGGAAACCTACAACCTGAAGCTGCTGAGCTTTGACCAGTTTCCAATGGGACACTCCAAGAGGAAACCCACGTCTATGGCCACCAACGTGCCAGAGATGATGCAATTGGATCAGGTCAGAGGAGCTCCACCAAATGAAGCTGAGATGGCCAACAAGTACAAAGCGATGGCCATGGAGCAAAGATGTGCAACTTCCAAGACTTGGTCTGCATGGGCCCCAGGGCTCAAACTTGCGATTGCCACGGCGATTTGCCAAAACATCCAAGTTTTAGACCAAGAAGAAAGGGCCAAACATGTTTCAGTACAACCACGAACAGAAGGCCCAGGACAACCAATGGATCAATTTTCAGTGCAATCACTTGAACCTCAGTCACTGCAATCTCATGAAAGCCAAGGGTATGCCACAGGTGACACAACTTCAAGGCATACCTCCAACCGAATTCAACATCCAATGAAGCTGAAGGCTTTGGGGCCGATCGCATTAGAGCAGTGGAAACGTCATTTCCTCAATGACCATATGCCGGCGAGACGAGACTGTTCTCATTGCGTCCGTGCCCAAGCCAGAAGCAAACCTCACCGAAAGATTCAACATCCTGATGCCTACACGCTGAGCGTGGATTTGTCTGGCAAGATGACCCCAGGTGTAGATCAACATGCAACAGGATGCAAATACCTCATGGTGGGATGCTACACTTATCCTGTTCTTCGAGACGGTCGGTCTCTTGTTCCAGTTCCTGGCCAACCGGATCCTGACCAAGATCAACCACTTCCTGACCAAGATCAACCACTTCCAGGCCTCGATGATGACATGATGTCTGAGGGCGATGGCGAGCATGATGCTCCAGAAGCGGACATGCTGGAGGAGGAGGATGTGGAGGAAGAAGTTGAAGACTCTCCATCGGTCAGAAGATCCAGATCCATGAACGAGACGTGGGTAAAGTTGGTCGACGAAGCCAAGAATGTGACGGTTCGTCAGCTGACCTTTGTGTGCCCCGTCAAGAGCAGGTCAGTGAAGCATCTACTACCAGCACTTTCTCGAGTATATGCACGATTGAGGGCCTTAGGTCTTCCAGTGTACCGCATCCACTCCGACAGGGCCAGAGAGTTCTCATCAACGGAGATGCAAAACTGGGCTTTGGAGCGCAACATCCTGACTACGATGACGTCTGGATCATCATTCAAGGCAAATGGAAGGGTGGAGGCAGAAATGGGTGTCATCAAGAAGTCCATCAGAACGTTGATCACAGCTGGAACCTGTACGTTGCAACAATGGCCACTTGCAGCACGCCACATTGGCGAACGACGCCTAAGAAGACAGTTAAGCATCTTGGGATGGCCAGTTGGCCGATTGCTGCGGTTTGGGGCCAAAGCCTTTGCATTGAGGAAGTCATGGCAATCACGATATGCGCCATGGCGTGAAGTACGTGAAGAAGTCATCGTCTTGGGCACAGATGTGTACTCATCTTTGACCAACACTGGCTATTATGTTCAGTCGGTCACTACCAATAGATGCTTTTTCACCGATGACATCATCATTCCAGAGGCTCAACAACCAGCTGTGGAGGATCAGGTTCTGTACCTTCCAGAAAGGGAGAATGTACGACCGGCACATCGAATGCGCCACAAAGCTCCGCAACCAATTGTGTCAATGTTGGACATTGAGGGGGAGGAGAAGATTGTGGCGCGACATCCAACTTTGTTTGAAAACGAGGTTGTACCACATGATGGTGCTTCAAGTGACAGCTGGTCGCTGGAGACTCAAACCTCTACGCAGAGTTCACCAAGGATTCTTCAGTGTATGGAGGAGGATTGGTGGATTGGAGTGGGGGATATGGAGGAGGCGCCAAACAACCGGGCTGGTGGCTCATACCCGGTGGCCTCATATGCAAGTCCAGCGTCACTGAGAGTCCTCCATGCAAATGTGGCTACATATGTTGGAGAAGAACTTCAAAAATTGGATGGAACCTCCACCGACCAATCTTTGTGGTTGAGCACGCTGACGGATGCGATCAACATGAAGGTCATGATTGAAGACCAGTTGATTGATGCTCAAACCGCTCACTTGGAAGAGACTCAGAAGAGCCTCGACATGGAATTCCTCGTCACCAAGACCATCAGCAACAACGAGGTGTGGTCTGATCTTCAAGCATGGGCCCCATCGATTCGTCATGAATATGATCAACTTGTTCATAGAAAACGTGCAGTTCGGCAGGTGACAAAGGAGGAGCTCCACAAGATGGCCAGTGAGCAGAAGCTGCCCATAGAGATACTTCCTGGCAAGATGGTCCACACGAGGAAGTCAGGAACTGGAGCGTTCAAGAGCAGGGCAGTTGTGTGTGGCAACTATGCAGCACCTGACCAAAATGAGCACTACGCAGGTGGTGTTGACAGTCAGCAAGTGCGGACTCAACTGCGAGTTGGGGCCAACAAACAATGGGTGGTGGGAGGTACAGATATATCTACAGCCTTCTTGAACGCACCCCGAAGAAACAACCAAAAATTGACCGCTATGGAGATCCCAGTGGTGTACAAAAAGCTTGGACTGGCAACCAGCGAGCACATCTGGCTGATCGACAAGGCGCTTTATGGCCTCACGTCGTCTCCCAGAGATTGGTCCCTACATAGGGATGATGTCTTGCCGACGATCAAGTGGCAACGACAACGACAAGGCCGAACAGTGGATGGAGTCTTTCGAAAGACGCCTGATCAAAACGTTTGGAGGATGGAAGAGGCTGACAACGAGTCAGGCAAAATCCATTGGACAGGGCTGATGTCGGTCTATGTTGACGACCTGCTGTTCACAGCTGAGGAGGGATGTTTGGATGCAGCCACGACAGCTATTGCAGAGGTCTGGGCCATCTCAGAAGTCGAGAAGACGGGGGAGGGAAGAGTGGTCAAATACTGTGGTTTTGAGATTGAGAGCGTCTTGGATGACAATGGTCTGGCAAATGGGTTCATTGTGAGTCAGAAAAAGTATGAGCAGGAGATGATTCAGCGGTTTGGAGTGGAGAAGTCAACTGACTTTCCGCATGTGCGCCTGACAGAAGATGATGAGCTGCCAACGGGCGACATTCAGCCGCAAGATGTACGAACTGCTCAGTCTATGGCGGGTGCGCTTCTTTGGCTCTCAACGAGAACCCGACCGGACATTGCTATGAGTGTGGCAACGGCTTGCCGGCTATGCACAAAGAATCCATGCCGATCGATCGAAATCTCCAAGGCGGTGATGCAATACATCCGTGGAGTTCCTGGCGGCTTGCACTACCCCAAAGGTGTTCAGAAAGATAGCTGGGGAAAACGCGGCCAGTTGAAGATTGAGAGGCATGAGAACCTTTTGGAAGTTTTCTCTGACATAGCCTTTGGCGTAGGGAGCCGACATCGAAGCCTACAAGGACTGGTGGTGTGCTTGGGAGGCGTGCCAATAGCTTGGTTGGCATCACAACAGCCTTTTGTGACCTACAGCACTGCCGAGGCGGAGTTGGTCTCGTATGGAGAGGCTTTGAATGCTGGCAGGTCTATGGAAGCTTTGATTTGCTCAATGTTGGGCGAAGACATGGATACCAAGGTGCTGGAGCGAGTGATTTACGGCGACAACACTGCCGCAATCAGCATGGCCCATGGCACTGCAACATCAACATGGCGGACAAGACATCTTCGTGTCCGTGCATCCTTCCTCAAAGAGGCCTTGGACGGGGGTGTATGGAAGCTTCTCCATTTGAGGGGCACGGAGTTGGTGGCGGATGGCTTGACGAAGCCGCTTAGTGGTCAAGCTTTCTACAAGTTCTTGGAGGACTTGGGCATCAAGCGGGGTGGATCATTTGAAGATCCCGAACAGATCAGTGGTGAAGCATCAGAAGAGGTGCACAACGGCGATGACAGAAGAGGAGCTGCGATCATGGCTTTGACTGTGGGGAGCTTTTTACTATCAGGAGTTGATCAGGAAGAACCTGAAGAGGATGGAGATATGGAAACATCCGCAATTTGGATGACTGGTGCTGTCCTTATGGTGCTGGGAGCAATCTATGCTGGACAGGTGATTCATGGTGTGGCAAGTCACTGCCTGCGAAGATTGATGGCGCTGGAGGGTAGCAGTGGTCGTAGACCAAGCATGAGAGGAGTTCATGAAGACTCCAGTGATGGTGAAAGTGCCCTGTTGGTGTCGGACAATGAGACATCGATGAGAGGGTCAAAGTGTGGCGCATCTTCAATGAGTTTGCGGCGACAGTCGGGCCTTAGCACTGGGCATACTATGTCAAAGGGTTTAGCTACCAAAAGGAATGCAGCAAGCGCTTCGAAGAAAGCATCTGCAAAGTTTGGGGCGAAACGATTGAATGATGGTGAGCGTGATCTTTCATCAACTTTGAGGCGACAGTCGGGCTCATGCAGTGGTGAGCATGATCTTTCATCAACTTTGAGGCGACAGTCGGGCTCATGCAGTGGTGAGCATGATCTTTCATCAACTTTGAGGCGACAGTCGGGCTCATGCAGTGGTGAGCATGGTCTCTCATCAACTTTGAGGCGACAGTCGGGCTCTAGCAGTGGAGAGCGCGATCCGTCAATGACTTCAATGCGACGGTCGGGCTTAAGCGTGGCATCTGCGGCGGGAGAGCCTGCTGCTGAGCGAAGTGCTGCGGCTGAGGCTGAGAGCGGTATGGGAGCTCTCGATGAGCGTAGCGTAGGCAGTATTTCATGGGAAGAAGATTCAAAAGGGGAACATAGAGATGGTCCGAAAGGGACAAACCCTTGGAATCACTTCCAGCACGCGCACAAAGGGAAGGGCCTCAACTCAACCTCCATGGCCCAGATGTATCATCAACGGAGGTCTGAGCAAAGAGAGGGTCCTAATTAAATGCCTTGAGCCTGGACACAACAAAGTGTCACATTTTGGTAAGATCTATTTTCACCAAGAAACTTCTCCAACGAAATTGCAACAGCAATTTGGGGGAGTCTGAGCACATAGGATCATAGAACCATTGGACGTGCTTTTACAGGCATTTTCTTTCAAGTGCAGGGAAAACGGTCCTTGCTGTTAAGAGACAGGAAAAATCAATTATGGAAATAATGGCCACCTCCAAGAATTATGGAAAAAAAAAGGTTCGGATCACTTCCGGGATATTTTGAACCCTTATGGGGAAAAACCTAATTATGGAAAAATCGGACGCAGGCGCCGCCTGTCTAAGTTGAACGTTTTTTTTTCCATAATTCTGTCGGTGACCATACTATGATATACTATGATATACTATGATATACTATGATATACTATGATATACTATGATATACTATGATATACTATGATATACTATGATATACTATGATATACTATGATATACTATAATATGGCTTCCTACTAACCTATTTGACCATGCACCACTGGTCACTTTCGGCCAAGTCGCGGTGCACACGCGACCAGTAGTCGACCAGCGCCCTTGGCGTATCCGTCAATGAGAACCTGAGCAGGAGCCCTTAAAAGCCACGCGAATGCTGTATATATGGGGTACTAGTATATACCCTCTGGTAATTTAACATAGCCATGGTATAGATGACCCATTTATAGATGGGTTTACCTATTAAAAATGGCGATTTTCCATGTCTATGTTAAATAACCAGAGGGTATATACAGGGGCTGGCAAATGTCCTGTTTGGGGAAAATTTGAACATCACTTGAAAGAGGGTACCTGCTGGAGATTATGTGAAAAGTTTATATATGACTTTTTTTGCCTTTTTTTGCATAGGACATTTACCAACCCTTGATACAGGGTGAAGTTATATACAACAAGGAAAAGGGAAAGAGGAAGGACAAGAGGATACAAGAGGAAGAGGAGAAAGACATACAAAGACCAACACAAAGGAAAGGAGGAAAGATCAAGATGAGGGGAGCATCTTCGCTCTTCTCACCATCACCATCACCAGCAGCAGGGCCCAAACAACAGCAACGCTGCGTAGCTAAGGAAGTCACCCAGGATCCACAGTCGTCGGAGATGTCAAGGAGTTGTCGGTCTTGTGCGGACAACCTGCGCTTCCAGTGCTTTGTTCACATGTGAAGCCAGCTCCAATCAGACCGCGCACGCCTGACCCATCCTTGCCAAACTTCTTCAGCCTGGCGCCACGGTCTGAGCCATTCCTGAAAATCAAACCGTCATAATCCATCCCTTCCAGTGCGTTCCATTTCGTCCCATGGCCTCTATGACTGTTCCAGCCTGCAAAAATGCGATCGCAGGTGCCTCCATGGCACCAGATTGACGGCAGAGTCACTCTAGAAACTGCGCGAGATCCAGATGCAAACAAGCCTGGACTGAAGCCTTCATGCGAACTGGAACCCGTGGTTCGTAGACCTCAGGGAGTTGGAAAGTGACTTTCAGTGGGATATCATGGAAAATGTTGATGACCTGCTGATATCATGGACCCGCTCACGCTTGGGATTCGGCCACGCGAAACCAGCGAGGCTCGCACTCCTCCAACCTTCAAGGGTGTTAATATGCGTCAAGCAGCCTTGAATCTGAACAACTACACGCAAAAAAAAAGTTGGAAGCGTATCACTTCAAGATTTGGCCAACAACTCATGCGGCTGGTGCTGTCATCATCTAGAATGCGTTATCCATCATCCAGACTCCATCATCCACACTCCATCATCCACCACCACCAACACTACTAGTACCACCAGGAACATCATCATCATCATCATCATCATCATCATCATCATCATCATCATCATCATCACCATCACCATCACCATCACCATCATCCTCATCCTCATCCTCATCCTCATCCTCATCCTCATCGGCGGCGGCGGCAAAGTCAGCGTGAGCGTGAGCGTCAGCGTCATCATCATGTATAAATATGTATAATATGTTTAAACAAACTGCCAAAATCATTGCCACTGGTTTCTGACCTTTCTAGTTTGCCACTCCAATTGGGGAAGCCAAGAAGCAGCAAGCCCAAGCTTACGGCTTTACCATCTTGGAGAACCTCGCCGCCGCTCAGTCAGTCTACTCTGCGGATGCGTGGGTTGCTTGACCAATCAGCCCTGCCCAAGATACCCTCTGGTAAACTAACATAGCTATTGAAAATGGCCATTTATAGTGGATTTACCCATTAAAAATGGTGATTTTCCATAGTTATGTTAGTTTACCAGAGGGTACCATGAGTGCTTGACCCAGGCATCACAATCTTCGGACCTCGGTCTCAATGAGAATCATGAGATCTGACACAGGTGACTCAGACGATCGATCGCCTCGATTGCCTCGGGTCTGGACACGTCTCGAGCATGTTTTTCTGCATCCGCTAGCCTCACCCATCCTGCAGCAATCGAAGTCTTTATAAAAGTCTGTGCCAGAGCCCAGTAGCCAGACGTTGACTTTCGCGAGTTTCTTCATATGCCTGAAAATAGTGCACCCCTCAACCCACTGGTTAATCATGGTTAATCATTTAATCATCATGTTCACTATTAAATGGCTATAATTGAGGGTGTACCCCATTTCCAGACACACCCACATCCTTGTTTGATTTCAGCAATCTCCACAATCTCTCCGGCCTCGGGCTGAAACAGTCAAGCAAGGTCCAACTTCCAGAGATTGGTTGTCAACAAGCATCCGACCTCCAGAAAAGCCACTGATGGTGCATTGAGGCTTGGTGACTTCCGTACCTGAAGGCGAAACATGCGAAAAGTGGAATATGTGGATGTTTTTCATATTTGCTCATCATACCAAGCAACTTACAGCGATCACAAAAAACGAGTCCCCAAGTGGTCTATGGAGCTGGCAGTCACACGAGGTTGATAGACAACTCGAATCCACTTTGGAATTGTGCCATTGGAGCTGACTCGGATTTCTTTGATCTCCTGTCACAGAGCTACTGTAACACGTGGTGTCCTAAAATGGTGGTACCCCAAGTCATCCACAAGACCATGTTAGTATTATTATATAGTATTGAAACATGGTGACTTGGGGATCCACCATTTAAGAAACCCCCACATCATCACAGCTAGATTGATTGAGCCAAGATATCTCAAAAAGCATGGCATCGTCAGCCTTTTCGGACGTGTACCAGCATCCCACCACATCCCAGTACAACATCCATCCCAACCTTCGGCTTGGGCTTTTGAACTTCGGGTGCAGGTTCAACTTTCGAGACGGTCTTTCCTCAGGAATTCTGGGGAACATCGAGGAGTCTCATGCTCAGATATCCCAGATCAAGAATGACAGCATGGATGTGGTAGGTAAACCGCCATGAAGAATCCCCAAGTCATCACCATTTTTATGGTACAGAAACCATCCCCAGTCATGGTAGTTGTTTTACCATTGGGTGCCCGGCCTTGTGTGGCATCAGCCCACTGGCTAAAGCGCGATCGCCCAGCTGTCATTTAAGCGTGGTTGATTCTGTTGGATGGGGTTGCTCCGCGCGCATCTGGTTTTTCCATTCATCCATCCCAAGTCAGAAGTGTGTTTTCTCTGTTAGACAAAGATCAGCTAACTTTGAACTGTTTTGCGTGCTTCATACTGATGAGAACTGCAACTGCCGCAAATATCCGCAAATAAGAGCGGAAAAAAAAAAACATGCCAATACTTCAATGCCATGTCAAACTCATTTTTGTCAGTCTAAAAATTAGGTGTACCCCAAAACCACCATGTTAATGGAAAATGATGACTAACCTTCAAATTTTGGAATTTTCCCCGACAAACTCAAGCTTGCGAGCATGAATTTGCGAGCATTTTTTGGATCGTGCTGACAACTTCATTGCGCAGTCACTTCTCCACTCAGGTCCTTCACTGCAACAGTCGGTTGTGCCATGGGTTTGTCCCAAGGTATGTACTCCCAAATGGCCCTTTTCATAGGAAAAACTATGGGAAAATTATGATAAACTGATACAACGCAAAATTTTGGGGGAGTCCATTTTCAGTCCAATTCTTTGTTCATTGGACCTCACCTGACTCTCACTGTAGCTATCTGTAGCTGGTAATTCAGTTCCGGACGATCTTGTCCCACTTTCCGGAGAGTTGCTGCTTCAGCAGGATGCTTCGATATTCCTGGAATGTCTCAAAGCCATCTGACAAGTGGCAAGCCACTGAAGAAGTGCTGAAGTCCTGTGTGACTTTCGAATCGTAGAAAGACTTAAAATAAAGGTATGGCGATATCACAGGTCTCTTAATAGTGAAAAGAAACACGTGAAATGTGCACACCATGGACTTACTGGTGCTTAGTAGGGAATGGGGAAGGGGGCTGATTGTCAATAGTTATTCAGTTATTCATCATTATTAATAATTCCCCAATTCCCTACAAACCACCAGTAAGTTGAATCATGCCTGATCATCATAGAAATCTTTGCCTCTCCTTGGTGCCGCAGGTCACCAAGAGCTGACTTCCTGCCTGCCACTCCAGGTGCCACACCTCCTGGCAAACTAACAACGCAGCTCTTTACCTATAGCTTAGAAATGGTGATATAGTTATATACTCTACATGGCAAGCTTGTAGATGTTTTTTTTTGACTATTGCCAGTTCATAAATGAACTATACTAGCAAATTCATCAATGATATGTCGCAAAACCAATCATAAGTCCCACATGTCACCATCCGAAATTGGAGCTTTATGATTGGCTTTACCACCAATAGATGTTTGGTTGTAATTCATGTACTAAGGATGACCTGTTGGTATGTTCAATTCAGGTCCTCTTCCAGGTCGACCCGAGATTCCACCACCCACTTGGAGCTCTTGTCACCTTGGATTTATAGCATGACTGGCAGGAAACTAGAGAAAACTCAAGAGAAAAGGAAAAATGCAGCATCTAAACTCCAAACATCATCCCATTATCCCATCATCCCATCATCATCATCATCATCCCATCATCATCATACAGCGTCCAAACCACCTGGGTGTTCGGGGCACTGCTCAACTATCGCAAGACCACCCGAACGCCATGCGTTCGCCATGCTGAGAGAGAAACGGCACCAAAATATGACCTCGTGTCCTTTGACAGACCTGCAGTATGATCAAGATCAGCATCTGTATCACTGGTTTCAGGGGACATCTAGAGGAAACCAATGGAAACCATGTTTTCTTCCTTTTGATATGACATGTACAGATATGTAACTGATTGGTTTCAGGGGATATCTACAGGAAACCATGTTTTCTTTCTGATGAATATGAAATGTACAGTGTATACAGACGTTTTTTCACTCCACTAAAACGTGGCTTTCGAAATCCCTAAACGGCCCTCTAAACGGCCATCGCTGAGGACGCGTGCGCCAAGGTGTCATAGTTGCCGTCCCAAGGCTTCCAGGCCACATCACGGAACTCCTGGCGACGTATCAGACGTGCTATATACGGTAGAACCATACGGTAGAACCATGTATAATACCAATGTATAACCCTAAGATTTTGTGGTCAATTGGTCAATCAAATTGTTGTTTGATGTTTGTCAGGTTTGGCTTGTCCATAATTGTGACTCATAACCAATCCAGTTTTGGCTTCACTACAGTTGAGTGTTTCCAGTGCATTTCACTGGTGGCATCAAGTCTATCTGAGTCTGCTGATGAGTCCTTGTTTTCCGAGTCGTCCACCGCTTCTTGCTTAGAGCGGCCTTGGACCTTAGCAAAAACAGCACTTTGATCAGGCCTGGATAGGCCTGGCACATCCTGCTGGTCTGAAGTCTCCAACTTCCAGAATTGACCACACTCGCAGACCTCAGTCGTGTGGACTTTGCATTAGCTTCCAGGATCTGATGAGATTTCTGTGCTCCTCTCTGCTTCCTCATCTCATGAGTTCTTTGAGCAAGATCTAGCTTTGGGCGCTGAAATCGAATCGGAATTCAAGGAGCGTGCCATCAGTAGCAGCAGAAGCCAGGCCTTGTTCAATCTTTCAGACAGACGAACGCACCTTACACTTCTCGTGAGCTGCATTCTAAAAAACTCCCTCTAAGAGCACCGCATGCTCCTGCAAGCTTGCCACGGCTGTCTGGCCCAACCTCACTTCAAAAAGTTCTCTATCGAAAAACACTATGCTGACTTTGTGTTCAGGATAGAGGGAAATACATATATATATATATATACATATAATTATATATATATAATTATATATATATAATTATATATCCATATATTAATATATATATATTATATATCCACCTAAGTCAACTTCTAAGTCTAAGTATAGCCAACCATGGCTTACCCAACTTTGTCAATGCTTCCCATCAATGCCCCCACTCTTGGGCCCGAACGCTTGAAGCCCAGGACACGGCGTGCACCTCGCCCTTGTGAATGGCAAAGCTCTGAGTCTGCCAGCGGTGCTCCACATCAGTCTCGCCTGGAATCTGACGACCACGAAAAATGGAGATTGTGATCATCCAGGTTGAGGTCAGGGATTCAAGAGATATATGACAAATATACATACTAATATATACTAATATGATATACATTGCATACATTTAAACAAATGTGAAAATCACCGGCACCTGACCGCACTGTGCCCTGGTGGATCGTTGCAGTGACGGTTCCATCACTCAACGCACAGGCAAAAGCCTCAGCTGTGGTGGCAGCAACGGGTTGGTCTGAAAATTGATGGAAAAACTCTCAGATCCACTAATCTATCACCATTATTCCTATTACATCCATTTGGGTGGTAATTTTACTCCAATTTCAGACACACCCAAGGATATCCGTTGGTTCTCACACCCTTCGACATTGTAAGGTCCCATCCCATGCTGCGGGTGACTGAGTTCACAGCGGCTCCCACATTCGTCGGTGCCCATGACAGTGCCTGGTCTTCCAAAATACGTCGTGAGAATTTCATTTCACCCGAAACAGCTGAGGACGGCACACGGACTTCCCCATGTTTACTCAAGTTCTCTTCATGAACCTCAGAGCCGCATCAATCAAAAGCCAAAAATGCAACTCCTTGTTGAGCAGCGTTCAAAACACGAAATGTCGTCCCTTTAAACTGCTTGGTGGATGATGTTAATAGATGTTAATAGGATGTCCCAAATTTTAAAAATGGATGGTGAAAATCCCCAATATTGGATAGTATAAGCCCATATAATCATCAACCAACGTTGGTTTAGCACCCACTGCTCTTGTGGCTGAACCCATCAGCTGGGACTGCAACTATCTGCCACCTCTTTGGGTCTTGGCACGGACCCCACAGTAGGACCTCAGGGTCACCAGGCAGACTCTTGCCGTGAATTGCCAACTGCAATAGTAATACGGGGATCCCAATGTTTCACAAAGATGTTGTCAATTTAAGTCCGCACTTTGTTGCTTCATAAAATCTCCTTATTGAATTATGGCTCTTGGCCCGCAACAAAAATGAATGGTACCATAGTACTAAAAACACAATCAAAAAAAAATAATTTCTCAAAAGTCGGGAAAAAAATGACTTTTTTGAAAACTAAACAAAATATCTGAAAAACAACCAGCCTTTTTGTGGCTCCATTGGTCCCCCAACGACTTCACCGATCTTCGAATTCTTCGAGGCTTGGACCCGTCCGTCGGATCCTCCGGTGAGAAGCAGGGCGCCAGCACCGGTGCCCACCGGAGCCCATGCCACCTTCACAACGTCGCAGGGCGTGCGTTGTGGGCAGGGCGTTTCTGGGAAGCGCCTCTGGAAATCAAGCATGGCTTTGCTGGGAAATCCCCCATAAATGGGCTTTTAATTTCTATGTAAATGGAACATGTTATAATATCATATATATATATATATACATATTAATCCACAAATGGGAGATTTCCCACTGCCATGTTTGATTCCGGAAGTGTTTCCAAAAATGTCACAATCCCAAAAGTCCTGGTTTCCAAATTTCCAAGCACTACCAAAGTTTTGGGGACAAAATGATCAAAATGCCAAGAAGATCTGCAAAACCACCAAAAAGACGTACCGGGTGTTGGATTCCCGCCTGATGTACCGGGCCACTGTGGCCATCCAAATCGCAGAGGAAGAGGGGGTCCTCTGCCGAAACGTCCCACAGCTTCACCAAACCATCTTCGGACCTGAGAAATCTCAAGAAATGTCGGTAGATGTCAGTAGGAAGACAACATCCACTTTGGAACTTGTGACATCTACTGACATTGTGATGTTTGGAACTTGTGATGATCTTTGTTTTTTGGTCAACTGCGGTCATCAAAGCACCAGACGCAGTTGCTAATCTCAGACCAAGGTCGTCGAGCTGTGTGTCCAAAATGGGAGCAGTGTGAGCTGTGTCAAATTGTGACACAATCGCAGTCATCCATAAGCCTCCAAGATCCAGCAAATCTTCGCCGGATCCAAGGTCTTCCCAACTAATTTATATCCCAAAATCCCAAAAATGTGTTAGGACCTAATAATGGGATCATCATCCCAATAGCAGCTTTAACCCTTCTGGAAAATGAACGAAAATTTCCACCATCAACATCCATCAATCAGTCGGTGTCAGTCGGTGTCAACTCGCCGGGAGGACCAGGGGCGGCTCGGCACGGAGCTACGCCAGTGTCTGCTTTGATTGGTTTATTTGGGGATGGGTCAAACCCCTGGTACCCCTGGTGAACATCAAAATAGCTGGGATTTATGGATGTGAATAACCCACTAAAAATGGTATCTATAGGTATTGACCCATACCCATTTGTGTCTGCTTTGATTGGGCTGCTATAGATGACTGGCGTTGGCATTACTTTTGCTGAAGCACATGTGGCCACCATGGTGTCAGTTGTCAACTGGTGGAGGACTCTATTTGAGGAATCCATCTTCGGAAAACAAAATGTTTTGGTACTTGCTGAGAAGCTTGTGGCAGCTGGTGAATCATAATTTCTTTCATAGAGCCAGCTATGCAAGGGACAAAGCAGTCTGCCTCCGGCACATGGCAAAGTACAAGAAACACAAGTGCTCGCTCGCGCTCACTTGGAAGCTTCTGCTTACAATGAGTCTGCACTGGCCGCTGGAAGCATTTTCTCATCTGAGCCTTGCCATGCGAAGCTCCCTGCCAAATTCGTGGCGGAGCAAAAGGACAATGTAACGGCTCTCCTTCAGAAAGGATCCAAAGGAAATCCGCAGCAAAAGCTCAAGATGCTCAAGTTTACAAGCTTTCTAGATTGCCTTCTCAGTGAGAAATGAGTTTGCTCCTGGAGGCATGTTTGGAGGAATCGTTGGTCGGCAGACTTCTCCCTAGCGTTTTGTGTGCCGTACTTTTTTCATAGACTTTGTCTCAATCAAACCCTACACCGCCTACACCATAGATTTCTACAGACATATGGCCACTCTCTGTGCTTCCCAGGGAAGAGAACGCGAGACACCATCCTCCAGGTTTCTGGCTCGACTCCAGACAGTGGAGCTCAACAGCGACCATCGAAGTCCCTGACTGTTGGCAACTGTGCCCATCAAGACTATTGGCAAATAATGGCAAATATATGTTTGCGGACCACTATCGACATGTCTATCACATCATATATTCATCAAATCGTTCCCTGCAACATCTAGATCTGGGTGCTTCCGGTTCAAACCTTGGCACCTTTTTCGACCTTTTTCGGTCTTTTGAGCGTCATTGTCATCTCAGCTTTTGCTGTTCGTAGCCGCTACTCGGTCTCAATGGTCTCGTCGAGAGCTTGGTAGGCGTGCTTCGGGGCTCCGGTGAACCAAACACGAGCCTGGCCAAAGTGGCCAGCAAAACGGCCAAGGGACGAAGAGATACCAAGAGATCAGTAAAAACCACTTGGGGTTGCTCGAAAATGGTGTATATAAAATCTGAATATGATGATTGTACATGGGTGTGCACCCCAAAACTATCAAAAATGACTACTTCAAGGGGCAAAATGATGGTAATATGGTAATCCTATTGGGGGTTGCCCCACGCTTTTATACGCTTCCCCCGCTGTTTCCCAACAAATCAGGACTCCCTCGCCTGGTACACCATGCGGGAAACGAAAGATCTGGGACGTTTTTGAGTGTCCTGCAATGAGACATCCATTTTTTCCGCGAATTTTTGGTGACATTTCCAGAATCAATGGGAATTTTGGGTGTGGAACTTTTTAACGACCAACATCCTATTCCACTGATTCCACTGCAGAATGCATCTGTAAAGCTATTTACATCTATTTACTATCTGTACAGGATTTGGACGTATTAAAGCATCCAAGGCCTCAGCTTGCTCTGCAAGTGCACGACCTGCTTCCAAGCCTTGCAGAAAATTGGCGGCATCCGAATCTTCGGCTTCTCCAACTGGACTTGGTTGGCATCAGTTGAGGCTCCCGCGAGCGTCTTTCTTGGGATCGACCGCTTGCAAATGGGCCTTTCCTGCCTGCAGAGCTGAAACCGGCTGAAACCCGACCTGGAGCCATCTGATCTATCCATATCTATCTGACCTATCCCCATCTACAGATTGGATGAAGATAGCAGAAGCACCTCGTACCAGGTAGTGTGCTGAAGACCCAGTTCAGGCAAGTGCTGGGCCATCAGCACATGGATCGGATTCGTATTGAAGTAGCCTTGGCTCCACAGCATGGATCCAGTTGTCACATGTTGTCACCATTGAAGCAGACGGATGCGGAAAACCTCTCCCGACCGGGCAGCTGTAACGGAGTCTGGCCAGGGCAGCTTTGTATGACCTGAGATCGAAATCATCCTGGCAGTTTTGCCACAATTTTACCTGACACTGACAACTGTACGACGAATCATAACAAATCACAACAAATAATAACAAGTCCACCAAGGGCAAAATCTGAGTGACCCACTCACTTCTGGTGGCATAGAGGAAACGAATACTGTGGTGATGGTTCAACGCCTTTGAGAGGAGCCAAAGGTATATGCTGCAGCTGGCCAGGAATGTCGCCGTGCAAATGGGAACTGAAGCGATTAGTTCCTCAGAAGAGCGAAACGAAGAGGGAAAGGAAGGGGATGATTGGATGATTCATGAGATGATTGATGATTAAAGATCATTAATGATGATTAATGATTAATGTTTTTTTTGTTTATTAATATTTTTTATGGAAAAAGAAACGACGTCAACATTTCCCGCACCCCAAATTGGCCAATGGATGTTTGGTTCAAGGCGCATATCTCAAGGCTCTGCATACCCAGGCCGCAGATGTGACCGCCAGCTGGCTCACAGGAAGAGCCCAACCTTAGGGCGGATGACTTCCCCCACGAATATGAAAGGAGCCAAGTTCCTACAGTAATCCCATCCCCCTAAATATCTACCCTCTGGTAAACTAACATAACTATTGAAAATTGCCATTTATAGTTGATTTACCCATTAAAAATGGTGATTTTCAATAGCTATGTTAAATTACCAGAGGGTAATTATGTATATATATAAGCTTCAATAGGGAAGCCCTAAAAATGAATAGATCCAATATACTAAACTATGGCATTTCTTCAGGGAAGTATTCAACGTTGGCATGGGATTACATCCTTTATGATTTTCAACTTAGTCCAAGGCCGGCAAGCACAGCTTTGTCCAAACGCGGCGTTGTGAAGAAGGTCTCTTTGGATGCCCTGCCCAGCAGGTCCCGGGAGATTCTACAGATGGGACCCTTGGGGTTGAAGGGGTTGAAAGGGCCTGAAGTGGATGATCCGTTGCCCGCAATACATCACGCAGCCTTAGCAAAAAACATCGATCATGGCCACTGGCCTTGAAAATCGACTATCCCCAAAATTCAGTGGCATATCATCATGATCCCCATCTATTCGTGCCATGTGACGCCTGGGGAATTGACCCAAATTTCCAGACAAACCTAAATTGGATCGAGTTGCTCAGAAACCTAAAATCGATCGAGTTGCTCAGAAAAATCCTCATTCGATCTCCATTCTCCCGGCATGTTTGTCGTTGAAATCCCCATGCTACGCCGAGCCACACCAGAGGACCAAAGCTGCACAGAGGACCCTAGAAGCACAGGAACCCGGCGGCTCGGCGAGGACCTTGAATCGCAACGGATGGGGAAAAAAACATGCGAAAATCATGCGAAAATATAGGAAAACATATGGGACAGTCTTGGAAATACATGGGGGAAAGTGATCGAAAATCATCAAAAATCATCAAAAATCATGAACAACATCAAATATTGGCGTTGTTGTTCATAACTGTTCACATCTACAACTGAGAATGAAATGAGCAGCTGCGACTACTCAGTGGCTCGAACACTTGTTGATCCAAATATGAGGCAAGGCGCTAAAGGAAAGAAGGCGCAGCATGTCAACTGAATATGGCTGGCCTCAAAGCATGGCTCAGCTTTGCGTGGGATATCTTCAGTGACATTCGCAGCACATTACTGAGGCTGTGTCCTGCATCCTGTCACAGCATCAGCATCAGCATCAGCATCATCATCATCATCATCGTCGTCGTCGTCGTCGTCGTCGTCATCGTCATCGTCATCGTCATCATCATCATCATCATCATCATCATCATCATCATCATCATCCTCGTCATCATCATCATCATCGTCATCGTCATCGTCATCGTCATCATCATCATCATCATCATCATCATCATCCTCGTCATCATCATCATCATCATCATCATCATCATCATCATCATCGCCATTGCCATCGCTATGATCATTCCCATCTTCATTGTCATCAGCATCACCAGTGTCACTATTCTTCCAGATGAGCAGCATAGTCCCAGGGCAGCCATATCCTCAGCCACAATCGGAGAGCTTCATGATAGACCCAAGAAGCACTGAAGCACCGCAAACCAAAGACTAGCTGATTGGTGGTTTCACTCCATCCTAAAGAGATGGATAGTCACTAGGAATCATCAGGTGGTTCTCAGTCCCCAAAGAGATTTTGTTATTGTTATCCCCACTACATTCCCATTCTACTACCATCTTTCAATCAAGTAAAAAACTAGTAGATCCAAAAAAACACAAATCGTTCAAACCAGCAACCAGCTGAAGTCCCAACTGGATGCCAAGAAGCTCGTCTGGCTGCAAGAGTCGTTCACACTCACGGCCAGACATCTCAGTGCCCATGATCCCAGTCCGAATCAAAAATGTGGCCTGAGACCAGGGACTCGCGTGGATTTTTTGTGCTAAAAACATGTTTTGCAGATGTTCTTCCAAAACATTTTTAAAAAAAATGAAGTGTCCCAGCTTAAAACCAAGTCATTGAAGTTCGACTGGTATATATGTAGAAAGATTTCCGCCATTATAAATACCTTGAGCTCATCAGACCCGGCCTGAAATATATTCAGCGGGACGAAGCAGAAGGAAAAAATGCACGATGAGAATGTCCCTGTGAGGAACATTTTCAACACCTGAGCAATGCTGTGACATCTACCGCGATGGTTGGGGGAGGCGAACGTGGACCCAAGGATCCACCAAAAAAGTATCATGCTGCGTATTCCAATTTTTGGCAGCACAATACTAGGATAGGCACAGCATCTGCCAGCGATGCTTCACGCGAAAGCTCTGCAGATCTTTCCAATGTTCTTCCCGCTGTGACAAACATATTTTTCTGACAGGGCACGAGACACATATTCCAGCAAATGCATCTGCAATAGTTTTGGCAGAGAGATCACAGAAATCAAATCTAACCCAAATCTTATCTTGCTGTCCGCATCTGATTTCACTTCGATTCTCATGCTTCGACATTCTTAGTGTTCCACAAGTCTAGCCACCAGCCAGCCAAAATCATAACAAAATCTCTCCCCCACCATGTTGTTCATTTATACCCCTCACACTTGGTCCCAGAGAGCTGGCTGCAAACAGTAAAGTTCGAAATTGGTTCCGTCAATAGTTGTCCCCGCATGGGTTTGTCTGGAAATAAGGTACCCCGCAAATTACTGGCTAAGCAGCATTTGCTCTATTTCAATGGCATTTTTGAGGGGTACAATCCTGTTGGCTCTATCTCCCACTGTTTCTCAATATCAAGATATATGAAGGTTTCCAATGGGGGTACTCTCTTAGACCATTTTAGTTATGAAACCTATGGTGACTTGGGGATCCCCCCATGACTTAGGAAAGCCCTATGATGGTGTTCTTCCAACCATCCATGGATCTTTCCCCCCCATCGCTCCTCTGGTTGGCCCACGGCCGCCAGCTTCTGGGCCGTCAGCAGCACCAAGCTGAAGGTATTCAGCAGAACCAGCAGGGTCCGCGCCTCGGTCTCCCGTGAAGGTGCCAGTTGGTCAGCCCCAATCAGAAACTAATAGCAGGTTTCAATAGGTTGAACAGAATGGATGAACAGAATGAATGAACAGAATGGAAAGTGAATTGTGAGATATCAATGAGATTCGATCTTGATTTAAGAAACTGAGGAAATTCCTGGAATAGAGTGACCCCAAATAGGTCTCTCTGACTCATACCTGCCCCTCATGTTTTATTTGTGTGGCGCAACTTCACATTGGCATCTTGAACTGAGAGTCTGCAAAGGTCACGATGTCAGCCTGATCTTTGCGCTTGAAACCAAGGCAGGGCACACCTCCAGCGCGTCATGAAATTTCTCACACCAAGAACTGTGGCAACTGGGCCAAGTCATCCCTAACTTTCGGGGATCCCTTCTCCTGGCGCCTAGCCAAAGAAGATTTGCAATGAGATTGTTCCCAACCTCACAGGATCAGCGATCTGATACAGTATCAACTGCTGTCCAACTGCTTCTGGTTTCATCAGTGCCAAGGAGCTGAGACAACAATGCCCAAGCCTGAAGTCCTCAGAAACGGTGTCCACAAAGGTCATTGCTGCGATCTGTGTCACGGTCTGTGTTTCTGACATGACATGATTCCTAGCGGGACAAGGCTCTGGAAGGGTGAAGGAGGCTTTCCAGATTTCTGTGCATAGCGGACAACGGAACTTGTCAATGGAATGTACCTCGGATCATTGTTGCAATCCCAAGCACTCTGATCTCCAGAACCACAGGTTACTCCACAAGTTTAGATTTACGTTTTAATTTTTGAACCACCTCAAAGCAACAAGTTTGCAGGACACTATGTTCCTCCATGTATGGTTTGAAAAATATATTTTAAAAAACTCAATTCAGGGCTTTCCCAGTTTTCTTGTCACCCCAGACCATGCTGCCCCTTGCCTTGCGACAAAACTTAGATTTGCTTGCAGTACGGGGGTCTCCCAAAAAAAAAATGACTTTTTCTGAAGTGCATCAAGACACACACCACCATAAAACACTGCAATCGCCAGCAGAAATCCAATCAAACCAATGCAAATTCGCATGGCCAGTTGCAGGTGAGTTGTACCCATGTGCTCCCAAATAATGGAGGTAGGTTCACTTGTCACCTCCCGAATTTCGAGTTCGTACCCTCGAAATGTGCGGTCCCTGCGTGTCTTCTTCCAACTTTGGGGCGAAGAGTTGGGAACCGGACTCCCATCGTGGAAGGAGAAGAACGATCCTGTCCGTTGTAAACCGCGGGGTTGGTCCCAGCGTGAGAAAAAGGTCTCCACATCGGCTTCTTGTTTCATCACCACAAAGGCTTCTCCACTACATCTCATGGCACACAGCCATGCATGCGTCTCTGAACGTCCATCCAGTGAGGTTGTCTCTGTCTCTTCACTCAAGGCAGGCAACCTGCTGGGTGAATATCTGAGGGCTTCGCGGCGACTTCGAGGCACTCCCAGGGCAGCAGTGAACGCCTCTTCTTGCACCTGTAAATGGTCATCTAGTTTTTTGCCAATTGCAGTTCGAAGTTCAGAATTGTTGAACCCCAAACAGTTCTGCTTTCCACGGATATCATAGCAAATCGATACCCCTTCAATCGGCCGCCCAAACTTCTCTTCCACCCAGCGCTGTATTTCGATTGGATCGATGGCATCTTGTGGAAGACCCGAAAGACCAAAACAATAATCCTCCATTCCTTCGTGGTTTGCTGATTTTCAAAAGTTACTCTTTTACAATATCGTAAAACCATATAAAACCATGTAATACATTGTAATACAATGTAAAACCCCGAAAAAAAAACTCTCGGACAAGAATCCGAAAGCGTATAAACCAACAGCTCCACACTATCTAAAGCACAAAAAAGCAACTTCAAACCACCTCCAAGCTTCGTGTGTGGACCCGATCATAGGTCCTGGCCGCGGAGGCCTGCCATCGGGCGAAGATGATGGAGGCCGGCAGGATGGCCAGCCACAGGAAGAGTGCGATCAAGGCCCGGCGCCGGGCGTAGCCCACCGCTGCGGCCTCGGACCCTGCGGTGCCGCCGTAGCCGCACTGCAGGGTGTCCCATTGCTGCATGCCAAACAAACCTCCGCAAAGGTGGACAGTGTTTGAAGAATTTTGAACAAACATAGAAAAAACGGAGTTCAGTCAATTGGATTGGGAGATATTGGGATCATCATGCCAGATAGGATTGAAGAAAAACAGAACTATCATGAGCTATCTAATATCTGAAACCACCAACAAGAAACCTTCAGAGAATCTCAGCACGAAATAACCGATCAACGCAACCACTCCAACAAAGACCAAGTGGTTGTAGTAGAGGGCCAATCCAACCCCAACGATGTTCCGCGAATGGACATTGACATTCAACGGATACAGCGGAGCACGAGCATAGTAGACCTCTGTTCCTGGAGCAGCGTTTTTGTCCAGGACGGCCGCTTTCGTTTCCACATCATGGGGCAAGCAGCGCTCTCGGTGTTCCATGCCCCGGGTCAGGCCTTCGCGATTGTTGTTGCAGACGTAGGCAAGTATGGCCGCCACTATGACCAAAAGAGTCAGAATGATCCCAAGCACGATGTAGGTTTTCAGAAGGACCTTGTCTAAAAGATATGTACACAGACCATCCTTCTCTAAGGCAAAGCCTTCCTTGCATCGAGTGCACTGCAGCGTCGACTTTTCGGAAGCAGTGTCAACATAATTGCATTCCTCACAGCCATCAGATGGACAGCTTTCACATCTCAGAGTTTCCGGATTCGGAAAAGGCGAATCTGGACGGTATGCGCCACACTCCTGTGGGGGCACACAAGCGGTTCCACATGGAACATGATTTCCAAAGCCATCCCAGCTCGAGTATTCACTCATTTCCAAGAAGGGGCAGCTGCTAGGGCACAGCAGCGCAATGTCATCCGTTTCTGTACAGTTCGTCAGCACCATGCGCCTACAGAACAGTCTCGCCGCCTCTTCCATGTCCGACTTCTCTTGGATCATGAAAACAGATCCATCTTGCCGCAAGAAGCCGCAGTCAGATTTTCGCTGCCACAATGGGCTAAAGCTGGAATTCTTGGACCTTCTCAGGCTGCCACTGTCCTGTGGTTTCTCTCCTCCGGCCAAAAACAACAGCCTGGAGAGGCAAAGCCAACATATTGCGCAGCTCAAACCCATCGCATTGAGTTGTAACAGCAGCTGGGTCTGCAAGAATACGCTTTACTGGTGACTGCCAGTGCATCAAGTACCCAGAGACGCCAAAGCTGACCGAGACGCAAGCGCTGACATGGCCATTGGATAACAACTAGACAGAGAAAACACACAGATCTATCGAATCAAGACTGTGAAAGCTACCAACTGAGCTAAGCTCCAACGCACTCATGGGATCTCATGGGATTGTGTGTGTGTATATTTCATTCATCCGATTCTTGGGGATACTGTTCTTGTTTTCAAGAAACAAAAGTTAGCTGAGACGAATCTCGTCAAATGTGTAGATGGTAGTACTGCGCACCAAATCAGTGAGCCTGAATCCAGCAGTATCGAGCATTGAGCGCAGGTCAGTTTCAGTCTCAGGTCCAATCAACTTTCCAAGATCGTGAGCTGTGCAAATGCAATGTTCTACAATGTTCTGCAATCTCTCTGTCTTTGCTGAACCAGATCCAATTCTTTCCAATTCAATGCAGGGCTTAAAGGGATCACCTGCCACCAGATCAGCAAGTGCCCCACCTTCGTTGGCACAGCTTCACTGCCACGATCTGCGTTCGCACCCGGGTATGGCGGTATGGCTGCGCCCTTGAGTGCTTGGAGCTTCCAAAGACTGTCGAAAGATCTGGTCGATCTGGTTGAAGAAGGGGAAGACCTCCTCAGAGAAGCTGAAGATCATCTTGGAAGCTTGGCAGATAGGACTTGTGCATGCTTATCTTATTTTAAAAAAATGTATATATATATATATAATTATATATAATTATAATACTCATTTATGTGCATTTACGTTCTATATTATATATATATATATCAATTCTATATCGTACCGATTGTACCTCATTCCTTGCTTTGGCTCCCGCATGGGTAAAATGATGAGCTGGGACAGCAAGACATCTTCAATTCACAAGCAAATGATGTCAACATGTTATACAAATGCCATCACAAGTGGCTGCTGGGTCCTGTCGAGACTTGCCTGCAGAAGCAATTGCGAAGGCATCAACCTGGGTAAAGTTCGGTAACCACTGTTTCCTTGACCAGTCAGAGGTCTTTCCCAGCAATCCAACAACCACACCCCGTCAACCCAATCTTATCATGTCGGACGAATTGAAAACCATACAGGAGAAAGGGTGTCATTATTTTTTGCGGGGTATCGAAGACCTGAGTGCCAAACATCTGCAACAGCTTGCCCTTTCATGGCAAAGTTATTCCAAGAATATCAGCATCATGGCAGTTGGGGAATCAGCCAGTGCTGGGCAGATTGCCCTCAACCTGCGGCCTGCTGCCATGGATCTCTGTACTGTGCGCAGTGGTCCAAGTTGTCCATGGTAAGTCTCTGGCAGAACATCAGCTTCCTCCATTCACGCCACGTCCAAGCTGAACTGGACATTCTGCAGTGACCTGGGATGCTTCTAGGAAGGGTGAAGCGATTCTTTCTCAACCGAAAGTGATAAATCTACCCAGCCAGGCCCCAGCAATCTGCGGGGTCATCAATGATTACATTACTTTTTGAGAAGGCAACGTACTCGGCATGGCATTGATCCCAAGTCCAGGCAGCTGCCTGAAGCATGATAAAGTTGAATGATCTGCAGTTTATATCCTTGGAGCTCCATTGGCTAAGCGAAATATCCAGAAATATCAAGGAAAGCAGAGGCTTTCCTAAAGTTTTAAAGAGTCACAATGCATTGAAATGGGAGAGGCCCAACCTGAAGTCGAGCCAATCATCCAGCTTCTCATGCTCGTCACCGGAAGGAAGGTGCTTACCTCGCGGCAGACTGGGCAGACTGGACATCTTGAAGCTAAGAGACACCCAGTAATTGCAACCCACATCAAGTGGCACAAACGAGCAGCTGGCCGTGCAAGTACATTCTCTTCCAACCTGAGAGTGCAAAGTTCTAGAAACGCGAGAAACAGGAGCGGCAATCCCATGAAGCTGCAACTTTTCTTGACTTCACCCCTTGTTTCTGAGGCATTCGTCGTGCTTAGCACTGGACAGTGGTGGTTTTCATTCGACATAGCGACACAGATGCAGCGACAGTGTCGCCTGCGCAGGCCATGAGATTCAAACAAAAACTCAATGAGATCATGAGATGTTCACCAATGCTGAAGAATTTCTCATCGTTTACATGGTCCAAATATGGGTTTCCATAAATGATATATGGCCATGTAGAACAGTCCTGGACTTCATCTCCTCTGGTAATGTGTCATAGACCTTTGACTGCTACAACGAGGCACATCACTCTTGATATGACAATGATTCAACCGGCCCATTCAGATTCAAAGAAGTGTGATGTGCAATGAAGAGCTTAATACCTGAAACCCCACATACAGCCCTACCTTTGGAAACCGATGCAAACTTCGTCTTCGGAATTCACCCGCCCGATGTCTTCATCCGTGTCACCTCCTGAGCAGAAGCTGTAAGATGCTTCAGCCAACCGTCAAACGTTTGACATGACACGAAAGTCCTGCTGGCCTTGAAACTTGGTGCTGAGACTTCCTGCAATGAATATGAGATAGATCATGATAGATCTATGGAATTATGTCAGAGAAGCTTCAAAGAGTCTGCAAAATCTCAACAAAAAACATCAAAAACACTGAAAATTGTGTGTGTGTGGAGGCTTAAATGCACATCTCAATCACTTGTGTGCCTCGAGCAGCGTACCGAATATCTACCCAACGCTGGAAAATCTCAGCCTCAGCATCCAGTCACATCAACCAGTTTTCGCAGCCCTGCAGACCCCACAGCAGACCCGTTCAACGCACAACAAGAGCTACAGCGTCTTTGCACCTGTGGTATCGACTTTTTGATTTTTTTATTGTCGAGGTCTGAAAGCAACGAAAGCGTCTTTGACTTTCGAAGCCATATCTAGATGGTCATTACCCACACTGTACAAACGCCAAAGAGAAGGACTCTGTCTGACTGCATGCAATCCACTTCGTGGATGGTAATTCGTGAGAGTTGCGATCATTAGATCAACGAAATGCAAATAAACTTTGAGGCTTCCCAACCCAATAATCCTTAACAGGTAGTTACTGTCAATTCTGTGCGCAAAATACTCTCATGTGGTGCGTTTACACTAAACGAGCGTGACTTTGTCAGGCGCCGCGCCAAAAAAATGCAATGGTGGCTGAAAGGCCTTGACAGTGACCAGTTGTTCAAACACTTTCACTTGCTCGAAGCTTTGGGAATCACCCCGGAGCCTTCAAAGCTGGCACCTGTCATTGACACGGGATCAACTTTCGCACTGTGCAAGACTCACAGGCAAACGACCATCTCTAACCCAGACCATCCATATCATCTGTATATTTATTCACATACATTTTTTCTAGGAAATCAGCCAGCTTCTGATAGCTAAAGCATTGTAGCGCTGGGGCAAAATCACATATCATCCATTTCAGAGGGTTGTTTGCTTGACCCATCGCATCTCCAGATTATCTCCTACATGTGTTCTCAAAAAAACATGCAGCCTCTTGTACCTGTGAAATGCTAAAGACCAAAAATGTGATTTTGTCTGAAAACGGAGGTGTACCCCCCACATATAGCAATTTCAAACAAGAATTGGTTGTCCATGCGGTTTCTTCATGTTTGTTCCATAGGTTTTCCCCGAAGTTTCAGCATCATCCATGGGGTTTTTTCAGCGCGGGCCACATGAGGATCGTCTTGTCTTCGCGGCACAACAACTCGGCAGAGGAGACCACATGGCGCAGGGCCGCGATCTGGGCTTTGCCTCGATGCCGTGGAAAATGACGAGGAAACCATGGATTTCTTGGGTTGACCATACTTCTAGCATCTTGATGCATCTTGTACCCTACTTTCACATGGCTATTGGTCAAAACCCTGGCACCTAGTGAACCCCAAAATAGCTGGCAAATGGATGTTCATCCCATTAGAATTGATAATAATAGGTTTCGACCCACCCCCACATAAGAACCATAAGATAAACACAATTCACAGCTCTTGTTGAAACATGTTGAAAGAATGACTTCCGCCAAGAAGGCCAGTGGCTGGTCTCGCTCCATTCTGGCTGGTGGGTGTCCTTGGTCACACGATGCGTGAGCTGTGAATGGTGCCAGAGAGTCACGTCAAGAGGAAGCCATGCCCCATTCATCCAATGACTTCTGTTCCTTGGGGATTCCCATTGTGGATTATGATTACTGATGATAAGCCATGACTTGGGGCCCAAGGGTGGGGGTGAACGAAAGCTAAGGTTCATATGAGCCGGGAAATATGATGGGATTTTGAACTTTGATTGGATATTGATAGGATTTTAATATGCTGAATACAGATTGCCTAGACCTGGCAGGATTTGAGCCCGTGACAATCTTCTTCCAACACCGCTTCAAAATGCCCCGGGAGCTTTGGGGGGGAGGGGCGGTTTTGAGTGAAAAATCACTGTGTTGGACTCAGACCTGCCCCTCCCCTTGCTGATAATCCCCTGCAATCATCAACCAACAAAAACCGGGACATGATCCGTTCAGAGCCATGGCTCGAGAATGATACCAGCTGCTTTGAGAAGCACCTCCACTGATATACCTGCCAAAAAACAATGAACAATGGACTTTAACGATGGGGGTATCCCAATTAGTGGATAATTTATTACATGGAAAATCGATGAAAATCCTATACAAATGGATGATAAATTGGGTACCCCCATGACTTAGGAAACAAAAACAACCATCAAATTCTTTCGGAGCCTGCTCAAACGATCTCCTCAGCCGCCTGCTGTACGTTGGCATTGTCGACATCCGAACTCGCAAGAGCACCCCGATTGGGGGGGCACTTTGCCACTTGCCTCCGAATGATCCACTGCCAATGTGAACACCAAAAACTGATGGAATCTCCTGCGAAATGGATCCAGTTGGCAGTGGGCAGCTAGAATCGATTAAAATCCTCAATGAAAAAGGGATCAGTTCCGGTCCCCTAATCCTAAATCCTGCCATTTTGAGATCCCAGTTTGGGCTGAATTTATTCTGATTGGGATCCTATACCGATCCCTTTTGAAACCCTGGACTGAGGTTAGGACTGCACGATCTTTTCTAAATCTCGCGGAGATACTGCTGGGGAGGCAGCCCCGTTTCCCTTGGCAAAAACATCCAATCATGACGCCATATGGCTGGTTCTCTTGAGTCCAAGAGCAGAGTTTAAGGCTGGCACAAAGTAT